CGTATGAGTGGAGATATAAGATTGTGTTGAGGTCACACGTGTCGTAGGAGTAACTGGCATGTTGACATGCCCCATATGCCGCGTTGGTTGTCGTACCGGCATACGGGGGATATTGTGATATGATGATGAGGTCCCACGTGTTGTAGGTTTATCTGGCGTGCGGATAGGCCCCATAAGTGACTTTGGATGTTCCGGCGTATGGGGAGGTTTTGGTGAGTTATGACTTAAAGAAAAAGGGTTTTAGAGAAAGAACTACGTGTGGCTTGATCCCTCAGTAAGGGTACGTAGGCAGCCTGAAGTTACTAGGTGCAGCCGCGGGCTAAACTTTAGCCTCATATATTGAGATTTGTTCGGACCTCGTTGTTGGTCCGAGAACTTAGTTGAATTGAGGCTTGTTCGGTGGACTAAGTGAGCGGATTAGATTTCGTTAAGTTTGAAATCCTTGTCGGATTGTTGCACAGTTTAGGCTGAGGCCCCAAACTATTTGTGATAGTGATAGGAGGTTAAAACCTCGCGTGTTGGATGCTTGGGAAGTTATTTTATGTTGATTGCGTGGTTAGTAGTTTGCTTTGGATTATCAGAAGGCCAGAGGCCATTTATGTGAACTGAATGTTGTTATATTGTGCATGCTGCCAGTTGGTGTTATTAAATTGTGTTTTATGCATGTTGAACATTTGGGGAATGTTCAACTTACAGGGGAGACTCTGTCGAATTTTCCGCAGAAAGTCTCGTGCCCCTACTCCTTTTTGAAAAAGGAGGTTACAGTCTAGTGAGTGGGTCCGACATTGGGGTGATGTCGGAGTTTCCACAGGATTCGTCTCGGGCTCCGAGAAATTCGGGGCGGGTTCCAAAATTAACCACAAAATCAACAATTGTATATTTTTTTGGTGTGTTTATAAATGAGTTTTGAGTGTGTATAATGATGGGTTTTGGGTGTGTTTATAAAGTGTTTTGGGTGTTGGGTTTTTTTATAATTTCAACCTCCATTTTAGGTGTTTTAGTGAAACTCCCTAAAATTAAATTATAAAATACGATACATTATGTGATATCAAATTATGGTACATCTTGCATTATTAATCTGAGCCACTTGTAAAACTGACGTTTCATTTTCATTTTTATGTCAGATCATAGATGGAAGATAGCACTCCTCAAAGAATAATTGATGCACCTTATTTAAAAAAAATTGATGCACTGCCAAGAATAATGCATGGAATGACCTGGCAGAATGAATGACTTTTGTTTTTTGTCACAACTTGTTTTGATTTATCCCAATTTTTTTAATCACAACTAGTTTAAATTAAAAGACTAAACAAAATTGTACATTTGTTGTCTATGTGTTTAAAATATTTTTTACAGATAGATTTGAATTTAGAATATTACGGGGCTGTTGATAAACTATCCACGTCAATTAGAATTTTATAAAGGACGCCGTCCCACTAATTTTACAGTGGTAGATTCCAAAGAATCTCTAAGGTGTGCTAGCATATTGAGTCCCACATTGGTAAATTATTAGGTCGGGCTTCATAAAAGCTTGCAGAGAATTTCTTGAGTGACTAGTTCTTTTAAGTATAGTGCCAAACTAAGTGGGACCACGATCTAGGTGAGCATCATCTTGGTCTTTTGCCAAGTCTTTTTTAATTGCTGATAATTTTTTATTTCATATATAAATAGAAAAAGAAAACTACATTATTTTTTAGTTATATAAATCAGAGGTTGGGGGTGCCCTATGTGGACATCCTGGGAATTTACAAGCTAGCTCTAGCAGCAGCTTAATTTTGAAGATTGCCCCAATCCAACCTGTGAGAGCATAGTTACACTTAATTTGTTTCTTTTTTTTTCCTTGCTTGTTTTCACGTATGATATGCTCGATTGACATAAAACTCACGTGGGATAAATTGACAGATCGAACATGGAAGCTACAGCTGCTCCTAGTGTAATTGCTAATCTGAAACTTCTTAACCATGATAACTACGAAGATTGGAGCTTCCGGATGCAAATCTACTTGTTGGCTGAAGATCTTTGGGACTTTGTCAATGACACCAATCAACCTCCAAGACGAGACGCTGAATTTAAGGTTTGGAGCAAACTTAATGCCAAGGCTTTACATGTAATTCAGAGTTCTTGTGGGGATGATACTTATTCTTTAATTCGGGGCATCTACTTGGCCAACGTTGCCTGGAATACTTTGGCAACAAAGTTGAAGCCAGCTGAAGCATCAAAAACCACAGGTACGTACGTACATATTTTCAGATTCCTCCTCTGAACCATAAGACTTTTGTGTATCAGAAATCACAAAAATTTTGTAAATGTTAACATCAAGCATTCCACTTTTCAGATGAGGAATCTGAACTTCACACCAACCACACCCTAATCAGTGGTGATGCTGGTGTAGAGGAAGACTCTACAATCGAAGTTCGAGTTGAAGGTATTGTGTCTTAATTCTCACAGAGACTTCTAGTCAATATTAGTTAAAAGAAACACTGTTTGTTTTTTTTTACAAATCATAGTTTAACACATATGTTAAATCCAAATCAAAATGATCTGTAATATTAAATCATAAACTTTCGTAGGACCTGAAGGCGATGCCAATGACTTGTACATGCCTTTCTTCCAAACTTTGTTAGACAATGATTGGGATGCTGCCATGGAGTATGTTAGGCAACATCCTGAGAAACTAAACGCGACCTTTGAACAATTCGAGAATGGGACAGCTCTTCACTTCGTAGTCTCAAACGGGAGGTTTGAAATTGCAAAAGAGTTGGTGCAGCTAATGAGCGAGGAAGACTTAGAAATACTAGACTCTATTGGTCGAACAGCTCTACATTTAGCTGTATTACATCGAGGAGATTCCCATGAAATAGTTAAGTGCATGGTTGAAAAGAACAAGAAATTACTTAGCATTCGTTTTAACAATGAAGAAATTGCAATTCCACTTGTCTTGGCGACTATAGAAGGAAGAGTAGCAATGTCTCAGTATCTCTATTCTGCCTGTCCACTGGAAACTCTGGAGGACCGTGTCTATGCCGGCGTAGTTATGTCTGCGTGTGTGTTGACAAGCCGATTTGGTAGGTATAAATAACCTTGTGTTTGTGCTGCACTTTAGCTCTCCTCTTTACCCAAAACCAAAGCAATTATTAAATAATTAATTACTAGCGGTGACTAAAATATGTTCCCGTACAATTTATTATTTTTTACAAATCTTTTTCCGCATAATTATATTGTTTTTTTCACTCCACTATACAGATATTCTGTTGGATTTAGTTCAGCGCCATCCGAAGGCGGTTTTTACTGAAAACAGATCTAAAGTAAGCCCCTTTTCGCTTTTGGCTGGTATGCCTTCTTTTTTCTTAAGTACAAGCAAGCTCAAATTCTGGGAACGATGGATTTATGATGGTTAGTAATAAGAAAGCTCAAATTCTTTCTTAAGTTGCCTAATAAGATTTAAAAATTTCTTTAGACTACTGTGATTGTGGGATCATTGCAATAATACACTAAACCAAAGAAAAACAAACTCTAATAGATCAAAAGACATATATTGACTCTGACAGGATTATTGTTCCCAAACTATCCAAATTTGTTCTACTTCAGATCTTCATAAGAGTGTTGATTTTATTGTATCGTGTTCTTATCTTAATAGGTATGCACGTACCACCTACTCCTACTATCGATACCGAAAAAGAACCTACTATCGATGCCTTTAACGATGCTCCTACTAATGTTCAAAAACTAGAAGGCGATCAAGCTAATCAAAGGCATATCATTTGCCTCATTTGCACACGTACGTTGTCAGGAGTGCCATTTGGTTATTGTTAATGCTGACTTATTCCATATGGTGCTTCTAGAATAATTCACATCTTTATTATTCCATATAGTTATACATTCATCTTTCTTCCATACATAGTATGCACCAATTCCTGTTTCATGCATGTAGTAGATATTTACTTATATTAATTCTTTATCATCAGTCAGTTCCTACAAATTCTATATTCTCCTGTATCAGATTTTCAAAGAGAAATCATTTCTAATGACTTCTAGAGAAACATCACGAAAAGAAGCATTATATATTATCAGCCATAAGATGTCGTTATTCTTTTGGCTTCTTATTTTCAAATATGTCGTAGCATATATCTAAACACCATATTTTCTGGAGAGCTTTTACGAACATGTTTGGATTTGCAATGCAGTTATGGGCTTATTATTCCGGAAGCTGGTAGTCGTAAATCTCTTTGAACTTGTGGGTATGCATCGCTACATCCACGTCCTTCCTTGTTTTTTGCTTATTTTTCCCTTATTGTCAGTTCCTCCAAAAGTAACTGCTAATTTTTGTGTTGTTTCATGTCAAACTTAGGAATCAATCGGATATATCGAATGAAAGAGATCCATGTCCGCGTTGATGAATTTCTACAGTGTGCAATGAAAACTATAAAGCTTAAGCGACTGCAAAATACAAGCGCGCAAGTAGGACTCGCCATTGCAATAGAACAAGGGCATGTTGAGGTCATTACTCATTTATGTAGAGCAAATCCAAGCCTCGTCCACGACATCGAAATTGAACACCTAGAAAGCACCGTGTTTCAACTTGCCGTTGAGCACCGTCAAGAAAACATTTTTAGCCTCATTTATAAGTTTGATAAACATGGCCAACAAAGAATTCTAAGTGAAACAGATAATTGTAGAAATAATATGCTGCATTTGGTGGGAAATTTTTCTCAGCACACACAGATTAATCATATTCGAGGTGCAGCTTTACAGATGCAGAGAGAACTACAATGGTTCAAGGTTAGAAATTTTCTGTATATGGTATATAGGTACCTCCATATCTAACTTACTTTAACCTATGTGCTAACCTATATGATAAAAACTCACATTTTCTGCTTTAAGGTTATTTTTGGCGATAAGGGTTTCTAAGACTCTTTACTACTTTAGTGGGTATGCAAGTTTTGGTTTCTTCTTTTAGATGTGTTTGTAGTATTATAATTTTGGTATTCTATTACTCTTTTAGTAAACTATAATTAAGAAGGTAGCAAGTCTAGGTTATGACAATAGGGATAGAATATCTAAGGGCACCTAAGGGTAGAAAATATAGTAAAACAAAAAACATGTTAAGAAACAAAAACAAAATTACACACCCACATCATTAGTTTCTTCACTCAATAAAAAAAATTCATATTGTGTGAGACCGCTTCTCAAGTGGCTAGTAACAATAAATTTATATCTAAGAGAGTGTTTGATCTAGCTAGATGCAAATTTTATATTTCAAAAGCAATTTTCGAACAATCAATTTGGAAAACTCATAGATGAAAAATGTGATGGTTTTCTCTTGAGGAAGAAGAAGAGAAAGTTAGCAAGAAACTTTCCAAAAACTTACCTCCAAAAGAGATGACTTTTACCCAAAAATTCCAAGGTCAGAATAGTACACATAATAGCTGACAAAATTCACATAATAGGACAAAAAATTTGGTTAGGATCCAGCTGGAAACCAGGGAGCTAGAAATCTTACTAATGCAAAGGTTAACTAGTCATGCGAAAGAAAGATGACTCGTCATAATCTTAAGAAATTTAGTGAATGCAATATGATGCAATGCAGAAAATACATTTGTCAAACACAATGATTATCCAGATAAGAACACCTAGAGAAGTAATTCTTAATCTAAACTAAAGCTTGGGAAATTACAATAATTGTCCTATTACAATATTGTCAAGAGAAGCCAAAAGAAAACCACAAAATGCAAACACTTACACATTATACTTGCAAAAAGTTGTTCAAATAGGAAAGCGATTAATCCTTTTAATATAATCAAAATCATTTTAATGTTTTTATACAAAACATTGTGTTCATATATTAGTTGAGTACTATTTCGCTTATTTTCTGAAATATTGTATGATGGGTCCAAGAAGTGCTTAGTGCCTTATAACCTTTTCAACACTATTAATTTTAAAACTTTAAACAATAATACCCTCTCTTTTTTGTGCCTTTGTTTTGGCAAAATGGGAAAACCAAGAAGAAATCGATCATAAGTGGTTTTATTTAATTACTGTCACTAGCATCCTATGTAGCTCAGATGAGTTTTGTTACCAGAATCTCAAAGCGCAAATGTTCAATGATTTGTAAGAATTCTAAGTTTTTGCGAGATGAACTGCAGGAGTTGGAGAGTATTGTAGATCCTGTACATCGTGACACTAAAAATCTGACAGATCGTATGACACCAAGGGCCCTATTTACCACGAAGCACAAGGAATTGGTGAAAGAGGGCGAAAAGTCAATGAAAGAAACAACAACTTCTTGTACCGTTGTGGGTGCTCTCATTGTGACCATGATGTTTGCTGCAGCATTCACAGTTCCTGGAGGAAATAATGGAGATACCGGTCTTCCTATATTCTTGAATAAAAAGGTGTTCAAAATTTTTATAGTCTCAGACGCTATCTCCCTATTTTCTTCCACAACTTCAGTAATGACATTTCTGGGAATTCTCACATCACGTTATGCTGAAGATGATTTCCTCAAATCATTGCCCAGAAAAATGATATTAGGCCTTTTCACCCTTTTTATATCTATCGTCAGCATGATGATTGCTTTTTCTTCTGCCCTTTCCATTATGCTCGATGGAAAACCATCCATTGTCATACCAGTCATTTTGCTTTCCAGTATTCCAATTACCTCGTTCATATGGATGCAATTTCCCTTCCTTGTTGAGATATTTATTTCTACGTATCGAGCAGGGATCTTTAACAAGAATGTCGAACCTTGGCCTTAGATTCCTATGTTATCTTATGTTTATGTTCGATGTTGTTACTTTTTTCAAGAAGCTTGTAAAGAAAAGACAATGTATGTAATGTGCTTGTTGGATCCTACAGTACAATCTGTTGACGCTCAAAAATGGTTCGGCACTTTTGAGGCCAACTTAGTGATGAGGTGTGATTGATGATGAGTGAAGGTGAGGACCTTCACCAAGCGTGTGAGGATTTGAGCAAGCGATAAACATACAAAAGACAAGATATACGTGGTTCACCCTTAATGAATGGGCTACGTCCACGGAGAAGTATATTCTCATTATTATAATATTGTGTATTTACATTTGTACATGGGTTGGGCCCAAACTTAAATGTAAGAAAGGGGAAGGTCATGACTAAAGGTTAAGCCCAGCCCCAGGGATCCTTTTCAAGGGGAGAGTGGTCTCCTTTTATAGGTGAGGGGGAGCCTTCACTTCTTGTAATATTCCAATGTGGGACTCTTTGCTTTGCCTAGAGTTGCTTCTAGTTGCTTGGTCAAATATGGTATAAACAGAAGTCCCCCAAGTTCTCAAGCAAGGAGGTACTCCTTGGTTGAGGACTTGCAATTTTTAGTGCATTGACCGAGCAACACCTTAGTCTTCTTTTCAAGTAGTGTAGTGTCGATGCTGCCGAATGATGACGGGGTGCCGAAGGCGTCGCTCTCGTCGGATGATGGCAGGGTGCCGAAGGTGATGACG